TGGTGATAAGTCTTCCTTAAATTTCTTGTCGAGTTCATCAGTGAATCTATCAGGGCCTGGGCTTTTCTTTGTTGGTAGGTTTTTGACTACATCTTCAATTTTGTTGATTGATACTGTTTTATTTAGGGTTTTTATATCTTCTTAATTCAACTTAGGTAATTCGTATATATCTAGGAACCTGACTGTTTCTTCTGCATTTTCTATCTTATTCAAAGTAGGTATAGATGATCGAATTTCTGCAGGGTTCATTGTGACTTCACCCTTCTGATTCCTAATTGTGTGGGTTTGAGTCTGTCTGTCTTTCTTTCTTTCTTTCTTTCTTTCTTTCTTTCTTTCTTTGGGTTTTTCAATTTTATTTAATCTTTCAAAGAACCAACTCTTGGATTCACTGATTCTTTATATTATTTTTTTAGTCCCCAGTGCCTTAATTTCTGCTCTGATCCTCATAATTTCTTCTCTCCTGTGAGCTTTTGGCTTAATCTGCACTTCTTTTTCTAGAAATTTTGAGATTCACCATTGAATTGTTTATTTGTGCTTGCTGTATTTTCCTGATAAATTTCCCTCATAGGTCTGCTTTCATTGTGTCTCGTAAGTTCCAGTTTGTTGTATTGTTGCTGTCATTTAATTGTAGAAACTGTCTAATTTCTTCTTTAATTTCATCTGTGCCCCACTGATTGTTCAGGAGGGTGCTATTTAATTTCCATGTGTTTGTGACATTCTTGTGGTTTCTTTCGCCATTGATTTCCAATTTCATTGGACTGTAGTCTGATAATATACATGGGATCATTTCAGTTTCTTTGCATTTGTATGGGTATATTTTATGGGTTAGTATATGGTTTATTGTGGAGAATTTCTTGTGTGCAGCTGAGAAGAATGTGTATTCTGATATAGGTTGGAATACTCCAAACGTATTTATTAAGTCCATTGGTTCAAAAGTTTGGTTCAGTTCTATTATTTCATTGTTGATTTTTTATCTAGTTAATCTGTCTTTTTGTGACAATGGGGTATTAAAAATCCCCTGATACAGTTGTATTAGTGTTTATTTGACTTTTCATGACCATTAATATTTGTTTTATATAGCTGGCTGCACTGGTATATGTATTGTGCGTATATATTGATGATTGTTATCTCTTCCTCTTGGATTGTTCCCTTTACAAGAATGTACTGATCTTCTTTATCTTTCTTAATCACTCTTGGCTTAAAATTTATTTTGTCTGCAAATAGAATAGCTACCTCTGAGTTTTTTTGAGTGCCTGTCACATGGAGAATTGTTTTCCATCCTTTGACTTTCAGTCTATGAATTTTTTTAATTAAATTTGTTTCTTGTATGAGCATATTGTTGCATCATGCACCTCGCTCCATTCTGCCAGTCTGTGTCTTTTGATTGGTGAATTGAAGCCATTAACATTGATGGTCATGACTGATAACGTATTGGCTGATCCTTGTCATGTTATTTTCCTCTTGTTGGCACCCCTTCTTTTTTATTTTTTCCTTCCCTGTGTTCATTTGTTTGTCTTGCCTAGTGGATTCCTTCTGTTTGGACTTATGTGATTATATCTTAGGGTGCTGGTTTGTTGGTCATAAATTTTCTCAGATGTTCTTTGTCTTGGAAGTATCTTATTTCTCTGTTGGATTTAAAAGAGTTTTGTGGTGTACATCAATCTGGGTTGAAGGTTTTCTTTTAGACCTTGAAATACTTTACTCCAAGCTTTGCTTGACTTGAGGATTTGTGCAAAGAAATCAGCACAAATTCTGATGGGCTTTCCTTTATAGGTGATTTGTTTTCCATAACAGCTTTTAATATTCTAGTCTTTTGTTGAATTTCTGGAATCTTGACTATGACATGTCTGGCTGTAGATTTTTTTTGTCATGGCCAATTGAAGTTCTATAGGTCTCACTTACCATGTGTCAAGTTGTTTTTTCTTAAGTTTTCTGCCGTGACTTCTGTGGGCAGTTTTTTATATCACTTATACTATACCCTGCATTTTCATTGACTCCAGTCAATCTTAAATTATTCTTCTCTGCATCATCTAGCAGTTTTTGTATTTATTTCTCATGGATTTTTGTTATTTTTAAGAAATCTTTCTTTTCGTGATAGCTAGCTGCAGGTATGTCTTCCATATATATCTGAGATCCTGTCCTCACACTGGTTTAGTCTGCTGCAGATACTTTCAATAGAGTCTATTCTCCTGGATGTCTTCTAGAAGCTACCTTATAGATTTCATTTGTTTCCTATGCTGAGCATTCATTATTTCCATAATTTTCTTAAGCTCCTCTATTTTTGTCTGCTCTAGAATCAGTAAGCATGGTTTTCATTGTGGACACCATCTCTGCAGTTGTCTGAGACATTGCTTGTGATTTATTATTTTTTTTCTAGAGCTTCATTCAAGCTTTGTTGTTACCACTTCAGAGGTGCCAAGTGTCAGTTTTCAGATTGTCCTGCCTCATTGTCTCCTGGGTTTGCTGTTGGTGGTGTTTGGGGTTGCATCTTGTTTAAGTGTCTCATTTTCCTTCTTTAGTGTAAGTCCTGGAGTGATGTTTGTAATAGCTGTTTAGAAAAATTGTATCACTTTGGGCTGTAGTGGTACCAATAACAATAACATAAAACACATCCTAGAAAATGACAAACTATTGTAACCATTAATTTGCTACCTTTACCCTTATGAACTAAATTTGTGATTATATAACAAAATTTAAAACACACTGGAAAATTATACAGTATACAAGTCCTCAGTATGTCAATTGTACACTTAGGGGTTAAAATTTAAAATAGGTTAAGGAGAAAATAAGAAGTGGAAGAAATTAGAAGGCTGGAGGACAACGGAGATCCTGCTGACTTTGGGAAACTGGTGCAGAAGATTGGAGGGAGAGGAGGAAGAGCTAAAATGAGGGACTAAAGAGAACCACAGCCACAAAGAGGCTAGACACCGTGTTCACACTCATAAAGACAAGTTCAAACAGTGAAAGAGAAAAGAAAAAAACCCATAAAGATAAAACAAAGCAATACTGAAAAAGAACAAAAATGACAGAGAGAGAGAGAGAGAGAGAGAGAGAGAGAGAGAGAGAGAGGACAACAAACAAAAAGTCCACTTTCAGGTCTGTCTCTCCTGTCACTGGTAAATAGCTTATGGGAACAGCATCCCCAGTCCATGTTGGTTCATCCTGAAAAGCCAGTGCGCTGGCACCCTTTGCCAGTCTGCAGCCATCAGTGCACTTCCACAGGCCTGAGCCCTGCTGGGAGCCGCTAGATGGAGCCAGTAGCCACTCTTGAGTTCTGAGCTCTGTGGGTCTCCCTCCAAGATGGCTTCCTGCCAGTCTCAGCATTTGCTCGCAGCTCGCAGCTCGTGCAGTCCTGCAATTCATCGTTTCCCTCCACTGCTGCATCTCTCCATGGAGGCCTCTGGGGGTTGCCAGCACTCACCATGTGTGGGCAGGTGTGGACCACTTCGCTCATGCAGTGTTTTCCAAATGCTTTGGTTTTTGCTTTTCAGATAATGTCTTGCTGTGTATGCCAAGCTGGCCTTGAGTTCATTATATAGGCTAAGTTGGCCTCAAACTCATGGCAGTCCTCCCAAATGCTGGGATTATAGGCATGTGCCACCTTGCCTGGCTCCAGTGTCAGTATTTAAAGTTAATGAAAGATCCTGGCCATTGGTCACACTAGTCCCCTCCAAGTTCAGTGGTCTTCTATAGCTGCTGCTGGATAGTGCAGGTGTGACCCCTTCAGCCTGACCTCTGGACAGAGCTCAGAGACGCTCATCTCTGCCTTACAAAGCTGACTAACAAAAGCTGCCAAATAGAGAAGTGGGAGGTCGGGTGGCCGGTGGGCATTATGCCATGCTGCGGCTTCCCAAAGTAAAACTTGTCATGCTTTAAGAGAAATTTCCTTAGGAAGCAATGTGAAGGTCCCAAGACTCTTGGAATGACTGTGGCTCTTGGAATGGCTTTTCCTATTCAACAGGGTCAACTCTGTGCTTTGGTTCCATCTTAAACTATAATTCCCATGTTTTCAACTAGCCCCAAATTCCCACCATAGAATCACTTGGGTAAACACCTGTCTCTAGGAAGCACCTGTGTTTTGGGAAGTGGCACCTGTGACCACTGTACTTGAATTATATTTTCACTTCAATCACATGACCTGCAAAGCTGTCAGGAGTGAGACCAGGAGGAACCAGTTTTCATGAAGGAATGTTTGGGAGCTTTCAGGGGAATAGAGTAGTAGTATATGAGTGCTAGGAAGAGTGAAAGTGGGGGCTTCAGGAGAGGAAGCCACCCTCTGGGCTGCCTGGGGCCAGCTCTACTTTGAAGCCAAGCCTCTTCCACTGAGTCAGATCTCAAAGGCCCATTTGTCAAATCTGTATGTGCTTACAGTCATTGGGCTGTATTTAACTATGGCATCAGGGTTAGAGACAAAAGCATTTTTAGCCATTAAGCTGGCAGCTGTTGCATGCACTTGACATTTGTTGTCAAGGCCTTAGCTTTGGATGCCTAGACTCGCTTGAAAACTGGTCATCAAATAAGTCATCTGGTCCATTGCATCTCAAACTAATGTGTTTACAGTCACCCGGAGATCTTGTTGAAAAAGCGGAACTGGATTCAGCAGGTGTGGACTGAGGCCTGATGTTCTGTGTTTCTGTTAAGCTCCTGCATGATGCTGAGTAGCTGGAATTTAACCTCTCCACTCCTCAGGGACAGCACTGTGCGAATCTCCGCTATGAGGAAGGCGTTAGAGTGCACCTACATCTCACCAGCACGTACAGCCGAGGATGCCTTTCAGTGAGGGCATGTGCTACGCTGGAGGGCTGTACTGTGTGATTCCTCCCTCAAGAGACTTGACATTGAGGGGAAGCTTGACACTCACCACCTGACCCAGAGCCACCTTAAAGGCCTGGATGACTCGTGTTTGTAATGAGGTCTTACTCGCCACAGTTTAGACGGACTCGTTCACCCTGGGATTCAGACATGGCACTCAGACCTGCTTCTTTGTCCCTTGCTGGCAGGTGGTTGCCTTCATGAAGTCTCCAGTGGGTCAGTGCTTGGACAGGCATCCTTTCCTGGCCCTCTCTGTGCTGGTGTTTGTGGCCATGTCTGCTGTCCCCGTCGGGCTCTTCCTGCTCCTCGTGGTGCTCAGCTCCCTGGCCGCACTTGTAGGAGTCATATTGCTGGAAGGTATCCTGCTCAGTTACTGGAAACTACCTGGGAAGACAGCAGTGACTGGGCATCTGCCGTCCTCGCCAGAGGTTCGCATTTCCAACGTTAGGCAGCTGCCAGAGCAGGCTAGATGTGGGCTCCAGAGTCTGCGTTGCAGTGTGATTCCGACAGGCTACCTTTCCTGAGCCTCAGCCTGTTCAGTAGGTAACACAGTGAGCAAAGAGACCCAGTGATATGATATGGGAACAGCAGGGGCACCTGGGGGGCCAGCTGGCTGCTGTTATCTAGTGAGGCACACCAAGCTAGGTGGTGCCCCAGATCCGGATTATTATGGAAATCGTACTTCCGAAATTTGAGCTGTCATTATTTTGAACATGCTGGCCCAATATGTGCCTATTTTGAACCTAGTTTAGATGATCGCTTCTCCTAATCATGTTCTCCCCCCTAGGGCTGGTCATTTCTGTGGGTGGCCTTACCCTACTCTGCGTCCTCTCGGGTCTGGTCTTCTTATCACTTGCCATATCAGGGACAGTCATGGTGTCCTCTGTGGTGATCGGCAGCCTCATCAGCTACTGGTTTTCTCCCAGGTGAGTACGTGCTCATGGAACAGTTTAATCTGGGCCATGGGAGAGGTTCTCTAGAACAACGCACTAGCACCAGTTGGTGTCTGGGAGGCACGCTGTAAGAGGCAGTGCTTCTCATGGTGCATTGAACACTGTTGTGTTGATTTCTTTAAAAAGATACCCATTTAGTTTCCAAAAGTCAAAATAAGGGGTGTGTGTGTGTCTGTGTGTGTGTTAGGGAAAAGAAGGAGAACAATAGGAGAGGAAATGACCCACCATTGTAATGCAGATGTGCATCCCCCAGAAGGTAGGAGCCAAAAGTCTCTTGTCCCTGAGTCTGTCTCCAGAGGGAGTCTCCTGTTTGATTTTGTTGGCTTCATTCCCACAGTGCAGCTCCTAATACCAGCTGCTTCAGCTTTGGACTTCTTGTGAGTTTTCCCCATTGCTGGTCACAGTACTTCAGATTCATAATTTAAGGAAGAAAGATTTAGTTTAGTTTGAGATTTCAGGGGTTCAGTCCATAGTCAGCTGGATTCAAGGAAGGAATGTCATAGCAGAAGAGCCTGACAGAACAGACCCAGGTACTCCCCAGAGCATGTTCTCCTCATCTGCTGGGCATTTATTTGGTGAAGTTGACATAGCAGGAGTAGCAGCCACACCCTGGACGATGACCTGCTCAAATCAGTAATAAATTCTGGAGTCAAACCAACTGTTTGCCAGGGATATAGCCCAGTGGCACAACACCTGCCTAGCACACACAAGGTCTTTAGTTTGATTCCCAATACTAGACAAAAAGCCAGCTGTGTTGATATTACTGTAAGATGCTGTATTTATATAAAATGTGCTGCCCTCCTCTAAGAGATTTTTCAAAGATGACTTTTTAACCTTTAATTTTTGTCCATGCTTCATTTTAGACTCCTACATCCCCATGAAGTCCATTACAGCTTGTGCTAATTTGGTGAGAGTGGCTGACACCTGTTAGCACTGGCTTTGTGTCTGGGTCTCTGTTAAGCTCCTTCCAGCCTTGTATGACATAATCTTCCCTACTAGCCCCATTAGGTCATCAGGAAAATGAATCAAAGCCCAAAACTGAGAGCAGGAAAAAGGGACCTACATCTAGGTCAGCTAATCCTGAGGTCCTCATAACCAAAATACCAAGTGACTCTGGGCAGTTTCTGCAGAGGGCCAGATGGTAGATATTTTCAGCTTTGCAGGCCATGTGGTCTCTGTCATAGTTGTTTGAATCTGCTGTAGTGTGAGCAGACAATAAACAAATGAACTCAGGAGGTGCTGTGTTCTAACAAAACTTTATTTATAAAAGCAGAGCTTTATTTTTAAAAACATGGCCCGCAGGCCATGGTTTGCCAATCCTTGATTTAAGAGAACCAATACTCTTTTATTTTTTATTTTATTTTTTAAAAAGGGTACAAAATAGTATTAAAATAAAAATTACAAGTGATACAGAATTTTACTTCACAAAATAATATTAATTTTGCAGTATTTGTTGTAATACATAGTGTTGTCTTCCAACTAGTAGTTTATATTACCAGGTATATGCATGTATAATTGGAAGAACAAAAGAAATACATAAGAAATTAAGAAGAGAAAAAGGTCAAAGAATTGAAAAAAGGAGACAAAATAAATTATTAACTACTCCTTTCCATAGACCAGGATAAATCCACAGTAGGGCGGTCCAAACCCTCCTGATTACATACATAGATATATCTCTCTCCCTCACTCCCTCTCCTGTCCTCCTCAATTCAGTAACTCCTTCCTTTTGAGTAGATACATTCCCTTTTCCCAGTATCTATTGTACCCTTCAGATTTTATTTTTTCTTTTAGGGAGAACCAATACTCTTTTGAGTTTTTTCTTCTACACATAGCCCTTGAACAACTTTTCAAAATGTCCTTTTGTTTTAATATGTTAAAGTGGGTTTAATCATAAATAGCTCAGAGGTAGTTCTCATAGGATTGCTTAATTGTCTGTTGTAAATTGCTTGATCACTATCTGACTTAGAGGAGATAAAATAAGAAAATGTTGGCCTGTTTAGCTTCTTCAGGGTAATGTGCCTTGCCAGAATCCACCCTGGCTCTGAACCCTGCCCTGATAGGCAAGTTCTTAAAAATTCTACCGCAGGCTGCAGCAAAATCTGAGTGGCTGCTTACCAGTGAAGAGATGGACTGAGTTGGGATTTGAACTTAATGTTCCTTTCCAGCCCAGGCATTCAGGCTCACGGTTTTTACTTTTTCTCTGGAGCAGAAATTCTCAAGCTTTTTGTTGGCTGTACTCAGTTTACCCTCTTAAAACTATTGAGCTACCCAAAGTGCTTCTGGTGTGTGTGTGTGTGTGTGTGTGTGTGTGTGTGTGTGTGTGTAGTAGGGGTTCAATGTATCCAGTAATTACTTTGTTAGAAATTAGAGCAGAAAATTTAAAACTGTTTGCTCAAAAGAAACTGTAGAGACTGGGTGTGGTGGTGCATGCCTGTAACCCCAGCTCTTGGGAGGCTGTAAGCAGGCGGATCACAATGAGTCCCATCTAGTAGGGAGACCCTGAACACCCTGTAGACCCTTCGTAAAATACAGAAAAAGAAAAAAAGACCAGACAAACAAAAAGACTCAAAAAGAAGGTCTTCTTTATTTCTTTGTTACCAAGTAGGAATTTAGGTGGCAAGAATAAAACCCCCTAAATCCTAACTTAACTTAAAGAATAGGGGTTTTTTTTATTATATAATAAAAAGGACTACTACGGCCACTCTGGTGCCAGGACACCAGGAGCCTTCGGCCTTTCTGCGCTGTCACCCCAGCTCATTGGTTTGCCACACGATGACCACAACATAGCACTGCTTATACCGGTGCATTTATAACAGGAAAAGGGGCGTGCTCACCAATAGAGCCTGGCCCTTCTACTAAGGAAGTGAACTCTTGGAGAACTTCACCCAGCTCCCCTGCAAGCAGACTTCATTGGTCAGAGCGGGGTCATATGGCCTCTAGGCTGGGAGTGGTCAGCTTGCTTCTCTTCTGAAGCACAGACTCAGAAGTAGAAGGACGTGGGGGGTGACGCTGGTGGGCCAAGCTCTGATCTGTGACTCCCAGTCAGCGATGACAAGGCCGCTGGGAATTCAGAAATGGCTCGTTAATCCTAGTAATGCTGATAGGGCTACCACCCATCTCACTGCCCTCTAAAACGCGCGGTCCTAGGGACTGGAAAACACACAGCAACTTGTGTGTTTCGCCCTGCACCTTTGGCACTGCCATTGAAGGTGTCAGATAACTGACCGAATCAGAAGGTGGGGCTCTGTGTGCTGTTGCTGCTGTTTTGGCTGTGTGATGTTGGACAAACTGCTTAACTTCCCTAGCGTCAGTTCTCTCCCACTGGCAAAATGCTTGTCCTTCCTTTTGCTATATTGTTGGAAAGACATAGACATTTGGGGAAAACGCAAAATCCAAATTAGGACGGGGGAAAGGGCCACCACCCTACCCAATGGCCAGCCATTTTGACCTCCCAAACCCTCAACTTCCGTATCTGTATAATGGATCCACCCCAGGCTGGTGTGGTTGCAAGAATCAGCTAAAACTGTGAGCAAGGACTGTCACCTGTATAGCTGTGTACGCTCAGCATTGGCCTCAAACTAACCTTTTCTTCTTGGCCCCAAACAGACCACTGGCAAAGCAAAACCCCAGTGCCGACTGTCAGCTGGCTATGAAGGCTGCAGACCTTGCAGGGCTGTACCAAGAAGGACTGGCTGGTTGGACCCACAGATGTTTTTAACTTCTCAGGAAAGCTTCTGGGTCGTGCTCGACCCTTGGGATTAGGACACAGACAAGGGGCAGGAGAGTCCAGCGCCCCTGGACTATGGCCTCCAGCTTCCTCAGTGGCCAGGGTGGCCTGTGACCCCCCCCCCACTACCAGCGTGCAGACCTGACCTTGGCAGGGCATGGGCCTCCAGCCGGCCTCGGGACTTGTGTCCACTGTCCCAAGGTAACACTGGCTTTTTTCTGCATTTTTTTTTTTTTCTTAATGAGGGAAGCTGTTTATTTTTTCACTCATTTGAAAAGCAGGGTGAAAAAAAATCTAAATCAGAACCAGCTTTTCTGCCTTATTCACTACTAATCAGAAGGGAAAGCACAATTTGGGAATAATGACCTCTCAAAGTTGAAAGAGTCTGTTTTAATTTTGTGTCCAAGAGTTTTTGAAAAAGTCTTAAGGCACAGTTTTCACTGTTACCATTGAGTGTGATTCGGTGTTGTTGATCTCTTACATGTTTGGACTTTGTATTGATTTAAAGAACTTGTCCTGTTAAGCAGTTTCTTGTACAAAAAAATGTAAAGAACTACAGAGCACAAATAAAACATCCTATATGATTTCTACTCACTGTGTCTTTGAAATATTTGTTCAGATGGCTTTTTTCTTCTATACCCTTTCTCCTTCCTGCCCCCAACATGAGACCTGTGTCTGATTTCCATCACTGTGGCTGTCTTGGAACTGTCTCATTGCTGGGACAAAATACCCACCAACCTCAGTTTACAGAAAACGAAGTTGATTTTGGCTTATCGTTGAGGGGCACGGTGGCAGTGGTGGGCAGAGGAAGCTCTCACGTCATGACAGCCAGGAAGCAGGAAGAGTAACGGGAGGAGCCAGAAGGGGCACTGCCCATGCCCCCCCCAACTGTGCCACAGTGACCCACCTCCTCCGGGCAGGCTCCTCTCCTACCACAGAGTCAGCTCACCAAAGCCTGTGGTTGCTGGAGGCTATGTGGGCCTCTGGAGCCAAGCCATAGCTATGACAATACCTGAGCTAAGGCATCCTAAGAGACAATCACATTTGGCTCTTGGGTTCAGAGATTGTAGTCCATGGCTCCTGAGTCCCAGAGACTTGGATTCTGCGGGCCCAGCACCTCATGGCCGGAGCCCGTGGCACAGCACGCCTGTTTACATTGTGGCCATCTGGAAGCCAAAAGAAAGAGGCCAGGGCGCAGCCCAAATGACCTAACTCACTCCTGAAGATTCGCCACCTCCAGTAGGACTCTGGACTAGTGACCATACCTTTAACCCAGAGAACCGTAAAAACCTAGGGAACCGTAAAAACCATGGTGCCTTTTCTTTCTCTGTTGGTTTCATAGTAAATCCTGGGTAACCTGGTGTGTTAAACTGCTAGTGACAGACACCAAATTCAAAGTTACCTTAAAAAGTTTGGGTTACAGGTAAGGGGAGATCTTCAGGCACTACTACACTCAGCTTAGGTGGCCTCCCCCTGCTTTTCTCAGACAGGTTCGTGCCAGGTAGACGTCCCAGCAGCCTGGGTTAGCTCTCCAAACTTGGAAAGAAAGCTACTTTTTGCCTTTAGTACATGTACATATGTTTGGTTCTGATCGGGCAGACTAAGGTCCTGTGAGCAACACTGAGCCAACAGCAGTGGCCAGGAGGGTGGACTATGCTGGATGGGGAGGACCGGAACATGTGTCCATTCAGGAGCCCAGGGAGGGGCTATGTCAGCCCCACTGGTGCACAGAGAAAGGAGGTTCCCAGAGGAATAGCAGAAGAAAAGGAAATGCAGGGAAACCTTGAGCTGGAAATGACTTGCTCCTCAAGTGTCCCACCAGACCAGCGAACATTCCTAATACATTGTAACTTGGAAAAGGAATGATGTTGGGCTGGAGGTATAGCTCAGTGGTACAGGTGCCTCTCTGGCAAGCACAAGGTCCTGAGTTTGATTCCCAGTCTTGCAATATGAGTATTACATAAAGCTGAGCATTGCTTGATCACACCTGAGCCAGTGCTCCCCCATTCTGTGTCTGTCCGTCTCTCTCCCCTCTCAGATTGTATGCGACCCCATCCCAACCACAAGACGTAAGTAATGGAGGAGGTCTCATCTGCAGAGAAGGAGGAGAGAAGAGGAATCCTCACTTCAGATGAGATTAGGGAGTCAATAAAATTATGGGAAAAAAATTAAAATATAAATTTAAAAAACTAAAAAAAAAAAAAAAAAAAAAAAGATTAGGGAGGTTTGTAAAATGTGGGAAATGGTACAAAACGTTGTAGGAAAGCATCACCCAAGCAGGGCTTGAGTGTGTAACAACCATGCAGTGTCACGTTTAAGGAGGCAAAAGTGTCATTGGACAGGTTCCTTGTTAATGTTGCATGAAAACTGATTCCATTGAGCCGACAGCAATGATTCCATGAGTGATGATGCAAGTTGTCCTACATAGTAACCCTCTTTCTTGTCCCCCTCACACCAGCCACGAGGGTTTTCAAAGATAACTGCAGGTTAATTTGTTTATTTTTCTATTTTGTATTTTATTTATTGTGTTATATTACAGTATTATAACCATTTTTATATGAATATTTTTGGGTTGTGGGATGAATCATCTTAGTTTCCATTATTTCTCATGAGGAAATTCACTTTTCTATACAAGAGCTTTGGGTTACAAGCATGTTTCTGGAATTAATTATGCTCACAAACCACGGTTTTACTGTAGTTACTAGGCAGACAAAAACAAGTCATGCCAGTAGCCACGGGGCCCAAAGGCTTTGATTTGGTACTGATGCTTCAACAGTGATGAACAGAAAGGTCCCTGGCCTCTCTCCTGAAGTTTACTGCCCAACACAAGATCACTTAACTATATTAAGTTATTGCCACATAACAATTATAGCAACTTGTTACCAACTATTGGTTGAAAGAACATACACGTATTAGGTCACATTTTCTCTCCATTAGGAGCACAGAACTAACTTGGCTTGATCCTTTGCCAGGCTGTGGTCACTGCTTTGAAAGGGCGGGGTTCTCATTAAGGCTTAACCAAGGAAGAACCCACAGGTGAGCTCACAGAGTCATGGCCAGTGTTCGTGGCCTTGCTGGCTACTGGACTGTGGTCCTCACTTCCTTGTGGTATGATTATGTTCTCCACACAGCAGCCAACAATGTGGCAGTTTGCATCTTCAGTGCTTCCAAGGGAAAGTCTCTTAGCAAGAGGGACAGTACATTCTCAGGTAACATAATCATGTATGTGTGATCTTGTATATCCTCTTCCATTTTCTATAGTCTGTTGGTTAGAAGCACACCAGCCATGCTGAAGAGGAATTACAGAAGGGCATTGAAACCTCAGGTAGGGATCATGGGCTCTGTCTTAGAGTTGACGCACTACTAGTTCACAAAATATTAGACTATGATAAGTTTGCAGAAGAAAGGTTATTTTAGCCACAATGATCACAAGCGGGTATTTCTGGTAGAGGGCACAATGTCCCAAAGTTCCAGAGACTGGGAAGAGATTGCTATGTTCAAGGAAACAATGTCGTGTGACCAGGCCCAGTGATCATAAAGTAAATGGAAGAGGAGGTCACAGTGCAGATAGTGTAAAGAATTACGGAGTAAGAGACCACCCCAGCCGGCGTGATTTACCTGTGCCACTGTGGCACAAGACTTAGCTGGGTGCAGGCAGACAGGGTGAGAAGACCCTCAGTCTCAAACAGAAAACCAGGCTTTTTATAGGACTTCAGAAGAAGGGCCATTTGAGGAGGTCAGGCAGGGGAAGCATGTGAGGAGTGTTCTGAACACAAGGTTCTCAGAACGTGCTGGTCAGATGCAAAGATGTTACCAAGTGTCCTGGCATCGGAAGGTCTCCCGTTCTGTCCTTTCTCTTTATGACATCCTGTCCTGTTTGGGAACAACATGACTAGTTTGCAGTTTCCTGTCATTTGCAGATGGTAGCATGCTTTCTGGGGACTGCAGTTTGCTGAAAACCTGTGTGGCTAAAATAGTGTGGTTACTGAGAAAGTCATGCCCAGGTTGTGCCTGACAAGTAGGAGGTTTATACTGGAGAGCAAAGGGGAGGCGAGAAAGGATCTTATGTGGGAACATGACATTGTCAGACCCAACCTCTTGAGGTTCACTTCATGGCCAAAGGATTAGCGCAGAAAAGCCAGTTAAGAGGCCTGTAAAAGACCAGAGCATGTGACCACAGCTGTGCCTATCGCCTGTATCAGGGCAGTGATAACAGATACCACCCTCACTTAGAAAGCCAGCAGCATTTGGTGGTAGATTGTGTGTGCAGAGAAGGAAATGAGGGTAGAGGTTTACAACTAGATGATTAGCTTGATCCAGTTGGTGGCCAGTAATATGATTTTTCTAAGAATATGACAGTATGAAAATCCAAGTCATCTTTGCTAATAATATGGTCAGATATGCCCTTCTCCCTTTTTGTTATAATAGCACACTAACTGAATAATAAGTTGCAATATGTGCTTTTTGATGCCAGTTGGCTTAGGAAACAGTTGGCTTAGGAAGAGCGCTGGGCTGGGAACATTATTTGGGAGTATTTTCCACGCAAAGAGCTTTGCACAACCTTGCTGCGGGACTTCTTGGCTTTCCAGCAAGGAGCCAAGGGCTTGTTTGAAAACATTTCTGATTACACAAACACCTGTGCTACCAGCGCAGCCGACTTGCTTTCCCACAGCACTCAAGCGCTAAGTCCTTGCACCCAGGACAAGACCATTCCACGATCTGTCCCTACTTGCCTCTTAGTTTTCCTATCCATTGAGGTAGGATAGAAGAAACAAAAGGTAGAAAGGAGGCAAGGAAATCGCAGGCAAACACCGTACCCGTAAGAAGCCGTTGGTCTTCAAGGCCTCGCTGCGTGGACTCAGCTGGCAACATTGCTCAAGGCCATATATTGGGCCATTTAAGAAAGTGGAGCAGCAGGTTGAGAGAGTCTACAAAATGTTCAACTCGCCTATCAAAAAACAAAAACATAACTCATGCCTGTGGAATGAGCTAAATATCCTTTCAGGGAGGAGGGTGGGCCACTTTTTCTGAGCTTTCCACCCCCTCAAGAAAAGTCTGCATGTTCCCGATTCCAAAATGTAATGTGTCTCATTTTGGTAAGAACCAGCACTCCACTCTTGAGAGCATCCTAAATCTCTAAGAAACTCTTCTGCCTCTTACTGATGTGCCCTGAAAATTCTACTTCCATGGTACAAGTCAGCAAACCTGCCAGGATGCAGGTGTTTGCTTTCATGAGTTCTTAGACCCAGCCCAGTGACACAATCAGTGTCTGGATTTTAGAGATAAAGCCAAAGTTCAGAGGAGAAAGTGATATAAGGATGATATAGAACCT